ACCTCGCTGCCGCGGCCGGAGAGGAGAAGCCAAGCCTCGCTGCTGCGGCTGGAGAGGAGAAGCCAAGCCTCGCTGCCGCGGCCGCAGCGGAGAAGCCAAGCCTCGCTGCCGCGGCCGCAGCGGAGAAGCCAAGCCTCGCGGCCTCGGCCGCAGCGGAGAAGCCAAGCCTCGCTGCCGCGGCCGCAGCGGAGAAGCCAAGCCTCGCTGCCACGGCCGGAGCGGAGAAGCCAAGCCTCGAGGCCAGACCAAAGGCCTGGGTCCCGGGTGCGGGAGGAAAACCGGTGCCGGCAGCCAGGGGAAGGAAGGCCTATTGCGCGAATCTTCGTGCAACAGGCCTCTAGTTTACAATAATTCAGTTCATCAAAGAAATACAATATAAAAGAAACCTAGAGGCAACCAACACACAATCATAGAATGGCGAAAGTGGAAAAATAAAATGCTAAGTGTTGGCAGAATGCAGAGTTATCAGAACTGCCGAGTGGGAGTACACATCAGTATAACCACTTTGAAGCACTCTATTCAAGTATATATTAGAATGGAAGGCAGCAAACCAGAGCTCACAAGCCAAATTTGGTGGTGTCCTGTTTTCATACAGCCCAAGGGCTGAGAATGGTTTTGACAGAGTTGAGTACTTAATTCAGAGATCATTTGGCTCACAAAGCCTAAAATATTTATTATGTGGCTCTTTATGGAGTTTGCCAACCTGTATACTGGAGCGAAATGTAACAATTGACTCAACCATTCCAGTCAAACAGAAATATGTACAGTATATGCCCCAAAAGACAAGTTCTGGGAAGTTCCAGTAGCACTATTGATAAGAAAGTTTGCAGAAGCACATACTGAAAATTAGTGAAATGCCCATCAACAGTAGGATAAATACCAGGCAGTAATGAAAACAGTGACCTACACGCACACAAAATGGACGACTTTAAACGTAATCTTGAGCAAGAGAAACCAGACACAAAAAAGAACACATTGTATGATTCCATTTATACATAACTTAGAATCAGCAAACAACTCAATGCATTGAAAGTAGGGGTGAGGTGTGTGTTTAACCTGAAGGAACCATGAGATGGGAGAGCTACTGACAGGTTGATAAGGTTCTTTATTCTGGGTGCTGGCTTCAGAGATGTATTCATTTTGTGCAACTACATGGAATAGAGCAAGAAAAGGAGGAGCAAAAAAAGGTCTTATCATTAAAACAGGCCAGTGATGGCGACACGTGAACTCATTTTTTTGGTTGATTTTTCTTTGTTAAATGGCATTTAATTGTATAAAATAAATATCAAAAATACATAGCTGCCGAGACTGGTTTGGCTCAGTGGATAGAGCGTCGGCCTGTGGACCGAAAGGTCCTAGGTTCGATTCCGGTCAAGGGCATGTACCTGGGTTGCGGGCACATCCCCAGTAGGAGATGTGCAGGAGGCGGCTGATCGATGTTTCTCTCTCATTGATATTTCTAACTCTCTATCTCTCTCCCTTCCTCTCTGTGAAAAATCAATAAAATATATAAAAAAAAAAAAATACATAGCCGATTCTCACAGCCAATTGGCCTGGAGGTCAATTCCTCCCAGTGATACCTAGAACAATCAAGGCTTAACTACAACAAGACTGTGCACAAAGCCCACAAAGGGGTGCACCAAGAGTGTCCACCTCAGGTAATTGGGGAGGCTGAGCCACTAGGCCCTATAGGACACCTAGCACACAAAGCAACTCTACTAACACAGGGAAGCATAAAAAAAGCAGAGACAAAGAAACAGGTCACAACTAAAGAAATGGAGGAATGCAAACAACTGGATATAGAGTTCGAAACCACGGTTATAAGGTTTTTCAAAAATTTTCTAGAAACCGCCGATAAATTTAGTGAGACCCTGGAGGATATGAAAAAGACCAACTAGAAATTAAGCATACACTGACTGAAATAAAGAATAATATACAGAGATCCAATAGCAGACAAGAGGATCCCAAGAATCAAGTCAAAGATTTCAAATATGAAGAAGCAAAAAATACCCAACCAGAAAAGCAAAAAGCAAAAAGAATCCAAAAATATGAAGATAGTGTAAGGAGCCTCTGGGACAACTTCAAGCAAACCAACATCCGAATTATAGGGGTGCCAGAAGATGAGAGAGAGCAAGATATTGAAAACCTATTTGAAGAAATAATGACAGAAAACTTCCCCTTCCTGGTGAAAGAAATAGACTTACAAGTCCATGATGCACAGAGAACCCCAAACAAAAGGAATCCAAAGAGGACCACACCAAGACACATCATAATTAAAATGCCAAGAGCAAAAGACAAAGAGAGAATCTTAAAAACAGCAAGAGAAAGACAGTCAGTTATCTACAAGGGAGTACCCATACGACTGTCAGCTGATTTCTCAACAGAAATTTTGCAGGCCAGAAGGGAGTGGCAAGAAATATTCAAAGTGATGAATCCCAAAAACCTACAACCAAGATTACTTTATCCAGCAAAGCTATCACTCAGAATTGAAGGTCAGATAAAGAGCTTCACAGATAAGAAAAAGCTAAAGGAATTCATCACCACCAAACCAGGATTATATGAAATGCTGAAAGGTATTCTTTAAGAAGAGGAAGAAGAAGAAAAAGGTAAAGATAAAAATTATGAACAGCAAATACATATCTATCAACAAGTGAATCTAAAAATCAAGTGAATAAAAAATCTGATGAACAGAGTAAACTGTTGAATATAATAGAACCAGGGGCATAGAAAGGGGGTGGACTGACAATTCTTGGGGGGAAAGGGGTGTGGGGGTGCAGGAAGAGACTGGACAAAAATCGTACACCTATGGATGAGGACAGTGGGGGGGGAGGGGGGGGTTAAGGGCCGAGAGTGGGGTGGGAACTGGGGGGAGGAGAGCTATGGGGGGAAAAAAGAGGAACAACTGTAAAAATCTGAACAATAAAGATTTAATTTAAAAAAAAATATATATATATATATATACATATATATAAATAACTGAGGGACAAATGGTATGATATTTATGAGACAAAGAGAAATATGAAGCCGAGACCGGTTTGGCTCAGTGGATAGAGCGTCGACCTGCGGACTGAAAGGTCCCAGGTTCGATTCCGGTCAGGGGCATGTACCTGGGTTGCGGGCACATCCCCAGTGGGGAGTGTGCAGGAGGCAGCTGATCGATGTTTCTCTCTCATCGATGTTTCTAACTCTCTATCTCTCTCCCTTTCTCTCTGTAAAAAATCAATAAAAATATATTAAAAAAAAAAAAAAAAAAAAGAGAAATATGAACATCACTTATATCCAGAATTTAAAAATTATAAAGTATTTACTATTAAGAATGACTAGTCATAACGTTTTTAGGAAAGATAACAGTAAGACATTGTGGACAGATCATGAGAATTCTCACTTCCTATTACAGAGTGTTTTACAAAGTATCATACTTTAAAAAGATATTAGTTTGTAAGAACATGTAATAAATAACTTCAAAATGCAATGGGTATTTAATTTTAAAGCGTGCCTTTAACATTTATGTAAAACGTTTTTTTGTACTCGTTCAATAGAAACTTACCTGGCCACTGGGTAAAGCTAGCAAAAAACTACTGATCCGCAATGTGTTAATGTGCTTAGGATGTAATTTTCTACATTTGTATGTACTTAAAATATTTTATTAAAAAAATACAGCACAATATGAGCACTGTCATTGAAGCATATTTTGGAGACAACAGAAATCATGTCCATCTCAGTAGAATTTGCAAGGATCAAATTGAATGTATGAAAAGTATTCTATAAGATGCAAAGTGCTTTCAGAATGCAAGTTTTAATATTTTCAAATTGGAGCTATGAAGTAAGACTTCCTTCCTAAAATCAATGTCCTTTAAAAACAAAGAGGGTTAGATAAATTTTTAGAAATGAAAGCACCTCTTAGATACACACAGATACACACACATGAGAACATATAGGTCACAGACAGTTTCAGAAGACTTCCTTCTTTTACTATCTTTCTAGATAAGGTAAAGGAGTATACTATACAATAAGATCCTAATATGCTAAATGCCTGGTTGTCCATTCAACCAATCAAAGGATAATATGCTAATGATATGCTAAGGCCGCTCAACCACTCGCTATGACATGCACTGACCAGTAGGGGCAGACAGTCGACCAATCAGTCGCTATGACAGGCACTGACCACCAGGGGACAGATGTTCCAACTGGTAGGTTAGCTTGATGCTGGGGTCAGCCAATTGGGAAAGAGCGAGACAGGCTGGACATGCCCTGGAGTTCTCCCACAGTCCCTCTGTTGCTGGGCAACCTCCTGCGTCCCTCCACAGCCCTGATCGGCACCAGTGGGGTCCCTTGGCCTGGCCTGTGCCCTCTCGCAATTTGGGACCCCTTGGGGGATATCGGAGCGCCAGTTTCGGCCCAATACTGCAGGCCAGGCTGAGGGACCCCAATGGCGCACAAATTCATGCACCAGGCCTCTAGTACTTTATAAATGTCTGGCATGTCTAAACTCTTCTATCATACCAACGACAGGAAATTCCATTTATTAGAGAAAAGATTAAAATACTGTGCACCAAAAAATAAATAAATAAATAAATAAAATAAAATACTGTGCACCAATCCCCAATCAGAATTTTTCCCAAATAAATGAACTATGAGATCCTAGATGAGTGATAAAAATCACCAAAACCAACAAACCCTGTGAAACAGTGAGTGGAGGGAACCAGGGCAGAGATGAACTTGTAAACCCAAGAGAAGCACAAACATGGTCAAAACAAGCAAAACCTATGACATTAAGACACATCATTAACAAATCTCATGAGGGGTTGAGGGTGAGATCCCTTGTTTTTAAATTTAACAGAGCCTTGGTTCAGTGACTGACAACATTACCAACATGCAGGATGAATGATCAAATTAACAAGACTCCCTAGGCTGACACTCTACATTAGGACTGTTACCTTGGTCACCACACCTTTTACCTTCCAAGAACGTAACTTAATGCCCAAGGATCTTTTACATACCTTGTAATTCTGGTGAGATTCGAAGTTAGAAAGTGGAGTGTTGCATGCAGTGGAAAAAGGCATGACTTTCATACCTCTATAAACAAGGCCTTTATCATAAAGTTGTTTGAAGACCCACCTATCAAGTAAAGAGACGTTTTAGAATCCTAAATAATAAAATGCTAATATGCAAATCGACAAAACAGCAGAACGACTGGTCACTATGACGTGCACTGACCACCAGGGGTAGACAGTAAATGCAGGAGCTGCCTCCTGGTGGTCTGTGCACTCCCACAGGGGGAATGCCACTCAGCCAGAAGCTGGGCTCACGGCAGGCGAGTGCAGTGGCGGGAGCCTCTCTTGTCTCAGCAGCAGCAGCGCTAAGGACCCCTTGGAGGATGTCTGACTGCCAGCTTAGGCCCGCTCCCTAAGCCGGTAGTTAGACATCCCCCGAGGGGTACCGGACTGTGAGAAGTTGCAGGCTGGGCTGAGGGCCCCTCTATCCCCCAGCGCACGAATGTCATGCACCGGGCCTCTAGTAATTATATAACCAAAACTCTCTTTCCCCAAAGGCAAATATTTATGCCAGGTTTCATTAATAGTTTGTGTCATCCACAGACATGAAAACACAATGTTTCTCAACTGAAGATTCACTAGCAAATTACAACAGATCACAATGAGCCTTTATATAGACATGAAAATGCTATTATCTGTTGACATGGAAACATGTTCATATCTTAATGTTGACTGAAAAAAGTTGACACCATAACGTACAGAAAGGTACCAATTATGCAAAACTGCACATTTCAGTCCAGATAGTCCTCAGGTTATATCAGACTTGGTCTATGTCGTTTCGTGGTTATGTTGCCATCATATATATATATAAAAGTTCCGTCATTTTGACGTATGTGCTTTATGTTTTTTATTATTTATTTACCACAAGGTCAAGAATTATCTTTCTTTTAAATTTTTCTTACTGTTTCACTTCATTACTGCTGTGTATGTACTCCATGTGAGTGACGTAGGTCAGTGATCAGCAAACTGCAGCCCCTTGAATGTGGCTCTTCCACAAAATACCACGTGCAGGCGCACACGTACAGAGCAATTGAAACTTCGTGGCCACCCTCAAGGGGCCAAAGAGCCGCATGTGGCTTGCGAGCCGCAGTTTGCTGACCACTGGCATAGGTGCTTACATAGGTGGGTTCCAACTTAAGGCAAAAATTGCGTTACGTCATGCCGTTGGAACAGATCTCCGATTTAACCCGAGGACCTACTGTATACATATTTACATTTTTCAGGAGTGATGAAAAAATAGATTTCCAATAACATCTTAACTATGGCTGGCATTTTAGTTTTTCGTTTTTAAATAGTTTTCTGGTGTATTGCTTAAATTTCACTATAATGGGTAGTTTCACTGCACTGGGATTAAAGTCAGTATGTCTGGTACACCTAGCCAAAAACTTTAGCATGCTATTTTAAGTTAAATGTACTAACAGAACTGCAAACATCCATAAGAATTATCCTACATTTTCTCGTGACTACTCACCTCTCCCAATTAGATGCAAGAATGCACTAGTGAGAACCCTTATTTAATTCTGCCATATTAAAATTCATCTTCAGTCTCATTCCTCCTATATGTCTGTCAAAATAAATGAACTAAGCCCTCTCTCCTTTGCTAAAATACAGTTTTTTGAAAACTTTATATTTGTTCATGGTATTCTTTTGGCTGCAGATAAAGCTTAACTATGTGCCTTATTTTTTTTTTTTTTTAAATATATTTTATTGATTTTTTACAGAGAGGAAGGGAGAGAGATAGAGAGTTAGAAACATCGATGAGAGAGAGACATCGATCAGCCGCCTCCTGCACATCTCCCACTGGGGATGTGCCCGCAACCCAGGTACATGCCCTTGACCGGAATCGAACCCGGGACCCTTCAGTCCGCAGGCCGACGCTCTATCCACTGAGCCAAACCGGTTTCGGCTATGTGCCTTATTTATATGCCAAGACTTTCCTCAGGAAGACTAACATCTCAATACCAACCGGCTTTAAAAACTGTTTTCCTGAGTCAAGTATGTTTTATGTATATTAAAAGTATAATTTAGAGGTGTATTTCCCAACATGTAGGTACTAGCAATAGGTGCTCATTTAAATTTAAATTCATGCCGAAACTGGTTTGGCTCAGTGGATAGAGCGTCGGCCTGCGGACTGAGGGGTCCCAGGTTCGATTCCGGTCAAGGGCATGTACCTGGGTTGCGGGCACATCCCCAGTGGGAGATGTGCAGGAGGCGGCTGATCGATGTTTCTCTCCCATCGATGTTTCTAACTCTCTATCTCTCTCCCTTCCTCTCTGTAAAAAATCAATAAAATATATTTAAAAATAAAAAAATAAAAAAATGTAAATTCATTAAAACTAGAAATTCAGTTTCTCAATCACAGCGGCTACATTTAAGTGCTTAATAGCCCCTGTCTAGAGCATAAATAGTGCCTGCTTTTTCAGATGTTTAACATGAACCCTGGTTTTAGATGCTCCAATCATGAAAACTCCAGCTGTTCAGTGAATAGGAAGCTGCCTGCCCAAAGTCCCTAGCACAGGGGTGGGCAACTGCAGGCACGCGTGCCAAACATGGCACGCCAGTAACTTTTGCTGGCACACGAAACCCTCTCCTATAATCTTCCATTTACAATTTTTTTCTTAGTATTGACTTTATTTTTCAGATACATTCAGTGTAGGTGCATCTTAGATAAATAATTTTACGTAACATGTATACATTAAAAAATAAATGTATTTTTCATCATCATATACTGTTTTTGTCGCTCGAATGAGTTTATTATTTCTTCAAGATTCTTCACATACGTACACCTTAAGAGATATCAAGTAGGTGTAACAGGTTCGCAAAAAATTAAGGTTGGCACGCAGAAGAATTTTGAGTCAGAGATTTGCTGGTTTTGGCATGCACTCACAAAAAAATTGCCCACCCCTGGGCTAGGCAATGTGTGTGGGGCACAGGGCATAACGGAACTGTCTGTACCCTGCTCTTAGTTTTGCTATGAACCTAAAAATGCTGTAAAAAAAATTAAAAGTTTTAAATCTTTAAACACCAAAACAACCCATCATTACTATATTATGTAATACAGGGATGGGCAAAAGTAGGTTTATAGTTATGAGTATGCAAAATACTGTTCATTCTTGTATTAGTTAATTGCTGTATTTTCTATTTTCTAAAATTAGTGAATTTAGAGAGATAGATAGAGATATCAATCTGTTGCTTCACTCATTCAGGCATTCATTGGTTAATACTTGTGTGTCCCCTGACCAAGATCAAACCTGAAACTGTGGTACATTAGGACAATGTTCTAACCAACTAACCTATGCAGCCAAGGCTAATTATTACATTTTCTTTATGAAAAACTGGAGAGCTATTTTTGTCCACCCCTGCATGGCAAAATATTCATTATATTTACAATTTCAAATAAACCTACCAGACAGATTCCATGAATTCTGGATAGAGTGTTTTATAGTCATTGTCAAAGTCAATCCATCGGCCAAGTCTGGTAACAGTAGACTAAAAAAATATAAATATTAGTTGTTAGAGAATATTTGTTACTGTAAATCAATGTGTTTTACTTCTTTATCAGCACATGTAATGATTTTTGGAAAACAGAACAATCAATGATTGAGGTAAATCTATATTGCTATCAACATACTATGTAAGATTAAGCACCAGATTCTTCTGGCATTCATCCTATATGAAAATGTTATTTTCAAGTTATCAATATGCCCTTACAGTCTACCAAAGTTACCATTCAACAAAAGCTATAGCTATAACTGTTGCTGGCAAGAATTATTAATGGATATTAAAACTACTGAGTTAAAGTATGAGAAGCAGGATATTTGCAAAGAATCTCCCCACAGAATATTAATTAGGAAGGAAAAACTCCAACTTTACAATAAAGAAACCTGACACAGGCCGAAACCGGTTTGGCTCAGTGGATAGAGCGTCGGCCTGCGGACTGAAGGGTCCCAGGTTCGATTCCGGTCAGGGGCATGTACCTGGGTTGCGGGCACATCCTCAGTGGGAGATGTGCAGGAGGCGGCTGATCGATGTTTCTCTCTCATCGATGTTTCTAACTCTCTATCTCTCTCCCTTCCTCTCTCTAAAAAAATCAATAAAATAAAAAAAAAAAAAAAAAAGAAACCTGACACAGATCACCTTAGTAACCAAAGTTAACATAATCAATGAGACATATCAGTGTCACAGGCCTCCTAATGGCAGACTAAAGATATGATGTCACTTCTGAGACATTTTTTCTAAAAATGCAAATCCTAAATTGAATCATGAAAAAACAGTAGATATTGAGGGAATTTCTTAAAAATAACTGGTTTGGCCCTAACCGGTTTGACTCAGTGGATAGAGCGTCAGCCTACGGACTCAAGGGTCCCAGGTTCGATTCCAGTCATGGGCATGTACCTTGGTTGCGGGCACATACCCACTAGGGAGTGTGCAGGAGGCAGCTGATCAATGTTTCTCTCATCGATGTTTCTAACTCTCTATCCCTCTCCTTTCCTCTCTGTAAAAAATCAATAAAATATATTAAAAATAAATAACTGGTTTGTACTATTTAAAAGTGACAAGAGCAAGCTCTGGCTGGGTAGTTCATTTGATTAGAGCATCCACATCGGATACACAGAGGTTTTGGGTTCACAGAGAGGAAGGGAGAGGGATAGAGAGTCAGAAACATCGATGATGAGAGAGAAACATCTATCAGCTGCCTCCTGCACATCTCCTACTGGAGATGTGCGTGCAACCAAGGTACATGCCCTTGACCGGAATCGAACCTGGGACCTTTCAGTCCGCAGGCCGACGCTCTATCCACTGAGCCAAACCGGTTCTGGCAGGTTTTGGGTTCAGAGTACATTCAAGAACCAACCAATGAATCCTATCTAATAAAGACAGAATATGCAAACTGACCATCACTTTGTGACAAAGATGGCGGCGCCCACAGCCAATAAGACGGGAATGTGCAAATTGACGCAACAAAGATGGTAGTGGCTGGGCCGGGACACAGGTGTTCCACCCCTCCTCGGCCGCTCCAGGCCTCTGGGCAGTACCCACGGAGCGGCCTGGGCGGGGCGGGACACTTGCTATGGGGGAGAGGGCAGGAGGTGGAGGGAGCTACAGGAGGGGGGCAGGGCCGGATCGAAGATGGAAGGCGGCTCTGGCCCGGAGCGAAGGCTGAAGGCGGAGGCCTGAGTGAAGGGCTGGGTCCTAGGTGCCGGAGGGAAGCTGGTGCCAGCAGCCAGGGGACGGAAGGCCTTTCTTGCATGAATCCCAATGCATTGGACCTCTAGTGGATGAATAAATGGATAAAAAAATTGCTGTTCCTCCCTTTCTAAAATATAAATTTAAAATTTTTAAAAGATTAAAAAAAAGCGACAAGGTCATAAATGACAAAAAAGATAGAGGTCACGTTCCAGATTAAAGGAGACTACGGAGGTATGACAACTAAATGCAGTGTCTGCTTCTAAACTGTATTTTGGATCAGAAATAAAAATTAGTGGAACTGGTTAAATTTGAAAAAGGTCTAATGTATCAATGTTCATTTCTTTCTGATAATTTGCTTCTGTTAATTATACTTTAGTTATTGAAGGTGTTAGCTAATAAGTAAAGGATAAAAGAAAACTCTTGATACAACTTCGTAATTTTTAATAAACCGGAATTATTTCACAATGAACAATTTAAAAATAAGGGGGGTGGGGGAAGACCTATACATGTTATAATCAGGATTTTTCCCTACTGGTAACCAGGCAAGGAAAGTTAGATTAAAGAAAGTTAGGATAAAATTTAGAAGCTCTGAGTTTTTAGGTCCATGAAATAAAATTTTATTCACCAATGAAAAGAAGTTACTCAGTGCTTTGAGCAGAGAAGAGCAAGATGAGCACAGTCTTGTGGGAGAGAGAACTTCACAGGCTGAGTGGAAAGAGCATGAGCAAGAGACCAATTAGGAGATTGTTACCGAAATGAAGAGGGGAGAAACTAGGGAGAGGTTGCTGGAATGATAAATGACTAAATAAGAGATGCTAACAAGACTTGATAGAATTTGACGGTAGATGTGACTGTGAGGATTAATGTTTAAAGCCCGAGTCCACTGGCAGAATAGTGAATTCTGAGGAACAGCAAGTTTAGGAAATCAAAGTGGTAAGATGGCAAAGATAAAAAAAATACAACAAAGCTGTTAAGTGGCACAATCTAATTAATAAAAAGGCCAGGGAGAAAATAAGGAGGTGAGGACCTGTGTTGCTAAGCCCTTAAGAGAGGGCAGAGCTCTGACAGCACTGGACAGTTACGTACAGGTTCCAGCTGTGGGAGCATCACCACTAAAAGGAGTGGGCAAGATGGGAGTTCATGTAACAATCAGTCCAAATTAGAATTGTTTTTAACATTTGATTTTTTTGTTTGTTTGTTTTACAATATTAAAGTTAACTTATTTAGCAATATTAAAGTTAACTTATCAGCTAGGTCAGCCTGATTCCTGTCATATACTGTGTGCAGGTAAAGGATTAAATATGGAGGATTAATCAAGCACATAGAAATAACAGAGGCTTCAGTTTAACTAGTCTATGTATTAGGGTTGGAGGTGGAAGCAAAACACTCTTTTATAAAGGAATGGTTGACACCTTAAGTTACAACTTCACATGGACAGCCACACTTTTGGGAGCATCATAAAATGCACAAAGGACCAGAAGTCATTTTAACATCCATTTAAACTACAAGTTTTGGTCCATTCTACTGAAAATAACAGAACATACCTTCCACTCAGTAGAATATCTCATCACAATTGCTCGGCACTGATTGTTATACTCCACAATCCCCATTTTGGCTACATCCTCTGGTCCTCTGATTCCTAGTATCTTATCTATTTCATATTCCTGAAAATTTACAATAACATTGTTAACATCGCTGCCCTGTGAAACAAAATGCAATTGAACTCTAGAAAATAAAACATTTTAAAATAAGTTCTCAAAAAATCTAGAGAAAATGAACTATAAATAGTATTATAGAAATGAAGAAGAAAAAATCTGATTATAATAAAAATTCATACTAATACATAGTACATAATGAAATCTAATGCTTATTAAAAAATCAAAACAGAAGGCTGGTGACTCAAACATACCACAGGTAAGCCATGACAATCCCATCCAAATCTTCTGTCAACATGAAACCCACTCTGGTGAGCATATCTTGTAACTATATCTTTAATTGTCCCCGCAAGTATATGTCCATAGTGAGGTAGTCCAGTGGCAAAAGGAGGCCCATCATAGAAAGTAAATCTAACAAAAAGAATAAAAATATGTGATCACTTTAAAACAAACAACAAAAATGTAGGACAACTTTTTTTAATAGATGGCAACTGTCTCAGTGGAGTGTTCAGGAAGAAAAGTGGTGAGTGCCTGGCTGGCGTGGCTCAGCTGTTGAGCGTGGACCTATGAATCAGGAGGGAACGGTTTAATTCCCGGTCAGGGCACATTCCCGGGTTGCAGGCTTCATACCCAGTGTGCGGCATGCAGGAGGCAGCCCATCAAAGATTCTCTCTCATCAGTGATGTTTCTATCTCTCCATCACCCTTTCTCTCTGAAATCAATAAAAATATATTTTTAAAAATATATATATTAAAAAAATAAAAAGAAAAGTGACTAAAATCTATTTTGCTCTCTTTTTAAATTTTTGATTTCAGATAAATACATGAAATTGGCAATGTAGCAGAATACAAAATCAACACCAAAAATCTATGGCTTTTTTATACACCAATAATAAATTCTCAGAAAGAGAAACTAAACAAGCAATCCCATTTACCACTGCAACAAAAATATTAAAATAACTTAGGAATAAACTAAGGAGGCAAAAGACTTGTACTTGGAAAGATACGGAACACTGAAAAAAAAGATAAAGGGAGAGATATATACAAGTGGTAGAGTATTCCGTGTTCATGGATTGGTAGAATTAACATTACAATGTCCATACTACCCACGGCAATCTACAGATTCAATGCAATCCCTATTAAAATACAAACTGCATATTTCACAGATCTAGAACAAATATTCCAAATATTTATATGGAACCGAAAAGACCCCAAATATCCTCAGCAATCTTGAGAAAGAAAAACAAAGTTGGAGGAATCACAATACCAGACATCAAATTATACTACAAAGTCACCATAATCAAAACAGGAAGATACTGGCACAAGAACAGGCATATAGACCAATGGAACAGAAAAGAGACCCCAGGAATTGCCCCAAGCCATTACGCTCAATTAATATTCGACAAAGGAGGCAAGAGCATACAATGGAGTCAAGATAGTCTCTTCAATAAAAGGTGTTGGAACAATTGGAAAGATACATGTAAAAGAATGAAACTAGACCACTAACTTACACCATACACAAGAATAAACTCAAAATGGATACAGGACTTAAGTGTATGTAGTGAAACCATAAAAATCCTAGAAGAAACCAGGCAGCAAAATCTCAAACATCTCTCATAGCAATATGGTTATGGATACAGCTCCTCAGGCAAAGGAAAATAAGGAGAAAATAAACAAATGGGACTACATCAAAATGAAAAGCTTCTGCACAGCAAAAGAAACCATCAACAAAACAACAATAAAGCCCACTGCATGGGAAAACATATTTGGCAATGATACATCTGACAAAGGGTTAATAACTAAAATACATAAGGAACTCATACAACTCAACAAAAGGAAGACAAACAATCCAATTAAAAAATGGGCAAAGGACCTAAATAGATACTTCTCCAAAGTGGACCAAAGTGGACATATGAAAAAATGCTCAAACCCTGGCCGCCTTGGGCCAGTGGATAGAGCGTCAGCCTGTGGATTGAAGGGTCCCAGGTTCTATTCCAGGCAAGGGCACATGCCTGGGTTGCAGGCTTGATCCCCAGTGGGGAGGGGGGGGGGGCGTGCAGGAGGCATCCAATCAATGATTCTCTCTCATAATTATAATTGATGTTTCTATCTCTCCTTCTCCCTTCCTCTCTGAAATCAATAAAGAAATATATATATATTTTTAAATATATTTTACTGATTTTTCACAGAGAGGAAGGGAGAGGGATAGAGAGTTAGAAACATCGATTAGCTGCCTCCTGCACACCTCCCACTGGGGAGGTGCCCGCAATCAAGGTACATGCCCTTGACCAGAATCGAACCTGGGACCTTTCAGTCTGCAGGCCGCCGCTCTATCCACTGAGTCAAACCGGTTAGGGCAAGAAATATTTTTTTTTAAATGCTCAAAATCACTGATCATCAGAGAGATGCAAATTAAAATGACAGTGAGCTATCACTTCATACCTGTTAGAATGGCTACTATCAACAAATCAACAAATGACAAGTGTTGGAGAGGATGTGGAGAAAAGGGAACCCTAGTTCACTGCTGGTGGGAATGCAGACTGGTGCCGCCATTATGAAAAACAGTATGGAGTTCCCTCAAAAAATTAAATATGGAATTGCCATTTGACCCTGCGATCCCAATTCTAGGAATATATCCCAAGAAACCTGAAGCACCAATCAGAAAGAATGTATACACCCCTATGTTCATAGCAGCACAAAGTACAATAGCTAAGATCTGGAAACAGCCCATCAGTAGATGAGTGGATAAATTCAGATAAATGATTATTTATTGCAGGTCTTGCCTTGAAAAAAGCTAGTTATGGGGGAGCTGGAGAGGCCTCCATTGGGCCACCCATTCTTCATTGGTTATTCATCCTGATGCTAAACAATAAAGCTATTCATCAGTAAAATAGGGCACCAAACGCCTATCTCATCAAGTTTTTGAGCAGAAGACACATGATTAAAAACAGAACAAAACTGGTCGTTAGGTGAAGGGAGATTGTAGACAGGAGGCAACCTAACAGACGGCTAGTCTAAGTAATTAATGAGGTGGTGATAATGAGAAAAGTGGAAAGGAAGAGTGTGATATGTAAACTCTATTCAATAGTGGTCCAAATTTAAATAGCTTTTAACATCTGAATTTCATTAGACCGAATTCAGGTTAATCTATTCAGAAGAACTCTTAAACTGAATCTAACCTAATAATTAAGAACTCATTCATTCAAAGTATATCTACAACTGAGAGTACCTACTATATAGAGCTAGAGACTCTGGGAATACAAAGTGAATAAAATAGTGATGGCGAACCTTTTGAGCTCGGCATGTCAGCATTTTGAAAACCCTAACTTAACTCTGGTGCTGTGTCACATACAGAAATTTTTTGATATTTGCAACCATAGTAAAACAAAGATTTATATTTTTCATATTTATTTTATATATTTAAATGCCATTTAACAAAGAAAAATCAACCAAAAAAATGAGTTCGCGTGTCACCTCTGACACACGTGTCATAGGTTCGCCATCACTGGAATAAAAAGTTCCTGCCTTAATTGAACACAGTCTAAGAAATGACTAGTCTTAAGGACTCTATCTTTACTAAGAAATTCACATACTTTGGCCTATGTTTTGACTGCTTTAGGCACTCTTGGAAACAATTAAATTCGGACCAGAACTGCAAGATTTTCTCTTCTTCAGCAGGAAAATCGATGTTTTCTGGAACTTGCTGAACCATTTTGTTGCTGCAAAAGAAATCAAATTTATTATTCTCAAAGAGAAGTCTAGTCTAGAAATAATTACCATACATTAAAATGAGTGTACGATACTTTAAAAATAATTAACGTTTTTTAGGTAAATTTCACACACTATCAAGTTCACCCTTTAAAGTGTACAATTCAGTATATTCATGAAGTTGTGCAACTGTCACCATGCTAATTCCAGAACTTTTTCATCAATGCTCCCTCCCCATCCTCTAAAAACCTGTACACATTAGCAGCCACTCTCCATTCCCTTTTTTCCAGCCCCCCGACAATCATAAATCTGCTGCTTCTAAAGATTTTCCTGATCTGGACATTTCATATAAAAGGAATCATGTATGTACAGCCTATTTTGTCTGGCTTCTTTTATTTAGAATTATGTGTTCAAGGTTCATCCATGTTGTAATATATTTATATATATAGATATATCGTTATTTTCTACACTGAATATTTCATTCTATCAACACGCCATGTTTTGTTTACCCATTCATTAGGACTCTTTCCACTTTTTGGCTATTATGAAGAATGCTATGAATATGAATATATGTTTTTGTGTGGGCCTAATGTTTTCAGTTAGGGGGGCATGGAGGAGGCAGCCCATTGGTGCTTCTCTCTCATTGATATTCCTATCTCTCTCTCCAACTCTGTTGGAGACCAGGTATAAGCTGACACGGTCCTTGCACCTGAAGGGGCTAGCAAGGCTGGGACCCTTACCCACACAATTTTCCCAGACTTGTTTGGATGGCGGTTATCAGTAGAATGAGAGCAACCTTTGTAGAATGAGAGAGAACAGCCTTTCATGGCTTATCAAGAAGTCGGTGACTATTTACTGAGATTTGCTGTACCGAGAATTTGTCCTTCTGCTCTGTCTCTCCCTTAGAGATTAAGAGGAACAAAGAATACATTCCTCTTGACAGACCTCCTATTCAGTGTTTTGTGTATAAAAGGCATTGCGTGGTTAATAAACTTACTGCAGTTCCTCGATTGAGCTGTAGTCCTCCCAATCCCGCTCTCCTGTCTTTCTTTCTTTTCTCAATTCCCACCTCCCTACCTCAGCCCAGTTCAACCTGTCAGGCTGGCCCTGACACATCTCCCTTCTTTTCTCTCTGAAAATCAATAAAAACATGTTAATAGAAAAAATAAAAAAAAGAAAGAAACCACTACCTTAAAAAGGTTGTGAATTTTTAGCTCCTATATTTAGGTCATTGATCCAGTTATTTGTATATACAGTGTAAAACAGGGATATTTATTAGAGGCCCAGTCCACGAAATTGATGCACGGGGGGGGGGGGGGGGGTTTGCTCAGCCCGGCCTGCACCCTCCCGCAGTCCCGCAGTCCAGGAGACATCAGGGGATGCCCGACTGATGGCTTAGGCCTTCCCCCCCCCCCCCCACCATCAGACATCCTTAGCGCTGCGGCGGAGGCGGGAAAGGCTCCCACCACCAACCCTGTGCTCACCAGGCTCACCAGCTGTGAGCCATGCTTCTTGTGCACTGACCACCAGGGGGCAGCTCCTGAGTTGAGTGTCTGCCCCCTGGTGGTCAGTGTGTGTCATAGCGACTGGTCATTAAGCCATTCAGTTGATTTGCATATTAGCCTTTTATTACATAGGTTTTTTGGGTTTTTTTTAACAAGTTACAGTCAAGTTTTATTTTGAAGGAGAAATAAATATGACTGGGTAATGACTTGATGCCTGGGGGTAGGATAAGAATGTTGAGTGTCTTGTTTCCATTTCTTGTGGATGGTGATACATGGTATTTTTAAATTATTGCAAAACTTGTGTCCAAATCACATTATTCACCAATTTTTCACCTACAATGTAACATTTAGTAATTGTAGACAATATGCTTCTAAAAATAAACAAAAAAAAATTTGGGAATTCTATCTAATGATAATATAAATTCAATAATAATAATTTTAAAAATCTCAAAAATAGGTAAGAATTAGCAGGTTTGGCTCAGGAATACAGCATCAGCCTGTGGACTGAAGAGTTCCAGGTTTGATTCTGTTCAAGGGCACATGCCCGGGTTGCGGTCCTCAGCAGGAGGAGCCGATCAATGATCCTCATTGATGTTTCTCTCTCTCTCTTCCTTCCTCTCTAAAATCAATAAATATATATTTTTTAAAATAGTAAGAATTAGTACCTACAATCATAAGACAGAAAGCACTTCTGTTGAAATAACTTCATCTCTTTAGCCTCATTTGTTAAACTTCAATCACAGTAACTTGCTATTGAAGAATGAGACCTAAAAAATTTGGAAGCTAAAAAGATGAGAATCTCACATTCAAAGAATTACCAGCTCATTCCAATTTTCTATTTTATCCTTTTTATTGCTTGTGGTTTTTGGACAGGACAAACCTTATAGTTCTCTGATTCAGTCTCTAGTGAGAGGTCTTAAAAGTGTCCTTACAAGAATTTTGCTAATAATCTCATGTAGAAACCTTGACCATCCCAGGGCTTAACTATCTAGTTGAGATTCCTCACGTCACCCTCAAGGCCCATGTAGTCTTACTTTATAATCCTAATTAGGATGGTGACCAGATTTCCAAGCCAACAGCAGATTGGAAGGGGACAGGATAGCTGATAATGAGAAAACAACAGAGAAGATGGAAAACCTTAACGATTCAATAACTATTGAAGTCTGGGGTTTCTAACGAGAAATTCTGAAAACACCAAAGCCTAATCAACGAGACTGCGCCATGTCATCAAAACAAAAAGGTTGTTACAAGAGATTTTTTTCTTTCCATTATTTCTGAGATGCAACAGTTTTATACAGGAAAAAAGTAAGAGAAGTACCAGTGGCCGTTTAATTTATTGTCCATTTCTGAGTGGAGTGTGCCATTAAACGGCTTAAACACAAGTTAGGGGCATTTTGGACCTTCTGCTCTTGTTACACCTCCAGCCTTTCAAAGTCCTACTCGTTCAGTACCGTATTTCAGGACCATTTCGGGATCGCACTGGAAGGCTAGATCTTCAGCTACCAACACATTTATTTCGTCGCTTCCAATGCCCCCGCGGCTGGCCCCGTGACTGCCAGGCCTGCGGGAGCTGTGGGAGCAGCTGGCCAGCCGCCTCCGAACGAGAGTCAGCACCTACACCTCACCAAGCCCTCGGGGTTCGCGCGCACGTGGCAGCGTGAGCGTCAATGCTCTGCAGCGGTTCTGACCAGTCAGGAATACGCAGCGGAACTTGTTTTTTTTTTTAAATCCTCGCCCTAGGATATCTTTCCATTGATTTCTAGAGAAAGTGGAAGGCAGGGGAAGAGAGAGACAGAGAGAGGGAAACATGGGCAGCCCAGCCGGGGCGGGGTAGGAACTGCAACCGAGGTAAGTGCCCTCGACCAGGATTGTCAACGCGCAACGCTTAGGTCCCCGGGCCGATGCTGTAAGCGTTGGCCCACCGGCCAGGGCTTACCTTTTTCTTTTTTTCTTTTTTTGAGTAAATGAGACTTATGAAGATGGCTCATAACTTTGATAGCATTTTTTAGGGAGCTACTACTGCGCAAAAGATTAAGAGTCACTGCATTATTATGCCAAACACCAAGACCTCAACTCCTACCGACTAGTTCAAGGCCCCAACCCCATCGCAGCTCGGAGAAGCCGCCTCTCCCACCCCAAGCCCACAGCAGGTCCGCCCGCTACCCGGCCCCGCCCGCACGCCGCTCGTGGTTCTCAGGGAGACCCCGACTTCCCAGTAATTCCTAAGCGCGCCGCCGCCTGCACCCTCGGCAAGCTCCGTCCCACCAAGGCCGCCCCTCCCCGCCCCCCGGGTCCGGGTTCCCGCCACGCCCCTAGGAAGGGGAGCTCCCAGGGCTGCAATCTCGGCCGGTTCCCTGGTCTTCAGCCCCGCTGACCCTCCCAATCTTCTCCTTGGAACTAGATATGCGCGCAACTAAGCGACAGCCCAGTAAACATTCAAAAACCCCACCAAACTGTGTTCACTACATTCCCGACGCGCCGTACCTGAGGGCCGCGACGGGAGCCTGTGAAGAGCCGCACGCGAGGCGCCCGGTGACCGAGGTGACGCCCGGACCGCTAGCTGAGGACGTCACCGCACCAGCCAATCAGCGCGTGACGTGGGGCACCAGGCAACAAACCCAACGCCGATTGGATGCTCTGGGCTCTAGGGTCAGGTCCCGCGGTGCGTGCTGGGAAGACAGCTGGGCGATTCCGGAGGGGACTGGCTGTGACAGTCATGCAGTGTAGGCTCTAGGGCTGCATCCAGCCTGGGAGTTGTCACCCAGGTGTTCGCGGTTGTCAGGGCTCACCTCCCCGTGCAGGGGACCAGTCAGGTCCCCCGGCAGTGGCCGCGGTCATTGTATTGGGGGGCTGTGAGCACCAGTCCCCAAAGCAGCCTGGGCTCTAGGGCTGTTTTTCAGTCTAGTGCAGACCTTCACCAGATTACCCAGGAGCTGGCAAAAATGCAGAGGCCCAGAATACAGACAGGCCTGCTGGAACTGTCTCTGGAGGTGGCTCACAAAAGCAGCATTTCTGCCCTGTCTGGGCACTTAGTTGATTAGAGTCTCATCCCCATAAACCAACATTACAGGTTCCATCCCTGGTCAGGGCACAGACAAGAATCAACCAATTAATGCATAGACAAGTGGAATAATAAGTAAATGTTTCTCTCTCTAAAATGAATAATTAAAAAAATTGACCTTTAAACAAAGCTGCACTTGAACAGGCAGCTGGACAATTCTGATGCACACTGCAATTCCTGACCACCGATCTGGGGAGACCCTGCTGTTTCTCAGAAAAAGGTGGAAGCCACTATGCTATGTCTGAAAGGAGCGGAGAGGGTGGTCAGTGGTGTTCCAGGGAAGCTTCCCCTTTTGTGTCCTTCAGTGCACCTCCAGAGTGTTAAGTTTGATCAAATAATTGAATGGATACTCCCTCCCCTGGCAACTGACCTCTACACCAACATTCCCTTTTGCTCAGCACTTGCTAAGACCACATTCCACTTGCTAAGACCATTATCTTTCCCCTTAGGACCTGCCCAGAGAATTTTCTGCCCAGAAAAAGCCCACCTAGAGTCCTTTAAAACCTTGGACTCCCTGCCCCTAGGGGCTGGCACCATATTGGGGCTGGCACCATTTTGGGGCTCAGCCCATCTGGTTTTCCAGATGACCAAATTCATAATTCTTTACCCCTTTTGGCCTCATGTGTTCCTCCTTCAGTGACCCTAACATTTGGTGCCAAAACCTGGGAGGGATCCATGGGGAGGGGGAGCCATCGCCCCAGCTTTAATCACCCTGAGTTTGCTACTTGGAGAGCAATAGGCAGTGGCAGCTCGACCTGGGCTTACCTCCAAATCCTACTTGGGTGATATGATTAGGCCTCCCTCCCTTACAGGCCCTCCCAACCAGCCAAGGAGGGTGCCAGATTGGGGACCACTCCTTCCCATTGCTGACCCCCCACTCAGCCCCAGTTCGTTTCATCTCCGGGAGGTGACAATTGGATTACCCCTCCGTAGTTTTGATTTGTTGTCATCTCAGACAAAAGACCTAGCACTAGGCCAGAAATCCTCTTCAGTTTGGCTTCAGCCCTGGGACCAGGTTCCACAGTCTTCCTTGTCACAAGGGATGCCTGCCGCATGGATTAGACTGTCCTCCTCTCTCCAGAGCCTGACTAGATGGTGGGGATGCCCTCCCTCTAGTCTTGCTCCCCGGGTCTCCCTTTGTTGCTTACCTCCTCTTCCTAATTTACACCACAGGGAATTTTTTTCCATCCCCCCAAAAAACACTCCTCTGGCATGTCTCCTCCATATCTGAACACACTCAGCCTTTCCATGGAGTCCGGACAAAGCACCATATCTGCTGGGGTCCAACCCCAGCAGGTCCAGGGATCCCCAAAGGTGTGGATGGAGTCGGCGAAAAAGGAATGACACGGAGACAGCGTTCAGTTGATCAGCAGCCTAGCCAGGATCTCTAGCCAAGTTCTGGTCAGGATATCCAGCGAAGTTCTGGTTAGGACCTCCAGCCAGGTTCTGTGTCCATGTTCTCTTGCTAGGTTCTCCAGCCAGGTTCTGTAGCCATGTTCCCTCACTAGGTTCTCCAGCCAGTTTCTGTCCAGGTTCTCCCGCCAGGTTCAGTTGCCAGGTTCTGTA